TGGAGGTTCTTCAGACTACCAATGAGCTCCTTATCCAGGCTGGTGAGCCCCACACCACCCAATTTGAGCGACTCCAGGTTTGGGGTCTGGAGGTCTGAGGGACCCAAGGTGTTTAGGACATTAAAGCGAAGGTCCAGCAGCAGCAGATGGGGCATTGAGAGAGCCGGCAGGGATGTCAACTGGTTGCCTTGTATTTTGAGTTCCAGCAGGTGCTGCAAGCCTGTAAAAGCTGCAGGGTGAATGGTCTTGATGAGGTTACTATACAAATATAGACGCTCAAGCAATTCCATACCCTGGAAGCATTCCTCTGAAATGTGGGTGATCTGGTTGGAGGACAAATCCAGGTTTCTTAAAGAGGTCAAAGGTTCAAACACCCTATCAGGAATTTCAGTCAGTTTATTTTGACTGAGGTCTAGCATTTCCAGGTTCTGCATACCATCAAAGTCCTTAGATGTCAAGCCTTCAATGCCATTGGCAAAGAGATAGAGACTTTTTGTGAATGAAGGCACTCCTTTGGGAATGGTGGAGGAACGTCTCTGAAAACACAAGATGGACTCTGGTGTGGAACAGCTGCAGTCCTTTGGGCAGTCGCTGGACAAGATGCAATCAGGGAAAATGAGGAGGAGTAGAAAGGGCACCAGTGGAGTCATATAGACCTTCATGGTACAGCCTCTGTCTCGCTCCATGCTCAGCCTAAAAAAAGAGAACATATATATTGTTAGTAACTTGCAATAGTCAGGGAACTATATCAATTTTGACAGATTGTAAATTGGATACAACAGTACGACACATAACTTATACTTATATATTAACTTAAAATTACTTTTTTCTGTCACTTTTGTGGAACATGATTAGTTTTGGGAGCATCCTGCTGTTGCATCAAAAAATTTCAAATTTCTTTATGATTCATATTTTCTAGTTTCCGAACCAGCCAGGATCAGCTATTGTGTGGTTCTACAACGTGTGGTTTTTTAGTGTATTTCATGGAGTGGGATTACTATCAAAGGTTTAATTATGCATAGCCAGTGATCAAAGGGTCTTTTGTCACAAGGCCTCTCAAACAGTAGGGCTGCAGTCATGACCTCAGGCTTCAGACGAAAAATTTACTTCGTGGTGTCCTGCCTCACTTTTCTGACTTAAACGGTGCCACATTCCTTCCGCTATGATCAGTGTAACAGAGAGCACTGTGGGATTCCAATTACATTATTTTCTTCTCCAATGATCCTATATATGCAGGATGTGTGCATGTGTGTCAATATGCCACTGCTATTTACTGTTCTGCACACGCTCTGTGGTTGTGGTGAGGGTACAGTTAACTGTTCTCCCTATGTTTATGACAGAATCCGTAGCTCATAAAACAAACACATAGCAATGAGCAAATTTATCTCAGTTTGGACGGTGCACCAAACTGAAAGCACAGCGGGACTTTGTCCTTTTTTTCTGTCTCTCAAGCACTGTGAAAAGCTTTGCAGACACTCTCTAAATGTTGCACCATAAACACTGCTCTGGTCTCTCCAGTTTCATATAACCATACCGTGTCAGTTTTGTGTGGCTGTGTGTCTGCCGTACTGCACGCGGCCATGCATCTGTGGATGATTTACTGTGCAGCGTTCTAAATGTGGAGAGGAGCTCCTCTGAGAGCCTGGTGCTGCTTCTTTGACCATGGTGCAATGCAGACAACACACACTTATATATCAATTTGCATACTGACAGTCTAACAAGTGACTTAAATACTGTAAAATGAGTGAAATATACAGAATCTAGATTTTCTGTTGCTGTCAATCCCATTTTACTGGAGCCAAGACAAACAACTTGCAGTGTCAACATTGTACTTGTACTTAAAATGGCTTAAAAGTATGGAAGGGATGATGGATTGAAGAAGGTAAGAGGAATGAGGGAACAAAGTAGTTAAGGACAGTCTGTTCGACAGTTTATCATCCTCTGCTATTAACTCAAGTGACACGGCCTTGGGGGGGAAGAGACAACATCTCTATCTGTTGACCATTTCTCTTCTTTTGACAGCTTTTGGTCTTCCCCGCTCTTACTCCACAGGGTTTTGTTCTTAATCCTTAACCAGAGGCATCCTGGGCTGCTTTGTCCAAATGTGCTCAAAATGTATCCAGGTGTCCTGTAATTACTTATGTTAATATCATAGTTTAAGTTTAATTAATCGGACATTTTGAAAATTTAAGACACCCAACAGAAACGGAATGCTGGTGGGCTAATTTTAGGGCCTTAAATGGTGCAGTTGTTGATGTCTGCACTGCGCAAATACCTGAACGAGACGCCAAGTATGTGTGACTTACAATTTTACACTACACGCAGAGAGAACATTCTGTTCTTGCAGTGCTTACCAAAGGTTGTGGCCTGTTACCCCATAAATGTCAAAGAAATAGTGATGGTCTTTTCCTCTGAAGTTACAGCACTAATGATCTTATTCTTATCAACTGTGCATATTATTAGCTTTTCAGAGATTTAAGTAGTATGTAGAAGCACACTTAAGGGCTCCTTTTACTTTAGCCTCTATAAATACATAATATGTTGCTGTATGTTTTTCATTTCCTCACAGGTATCAGTGCCACAGAAATCCATTCAAGCCAGTAACAGTAGCATCAGAGACGACTCTCTTTCTGCTTCAGCTCTTTCCTTTCACTCTGTTTAATGAAACATTTTCTTTACGAAAAAAAAATCACTGCCTCGAATGTCAGAACTTGGAGAGGAGATCAAGGGCTTTATTTTTGAGGGGGGTATCATCTCATCACGCCACGGCTATGGCATTTATTTTCCTTCTCTTTTCAGCATACTTTTCTTTCCGCTCCTCCTTGAAATTGCAACCTCCTTGGAAAGATTCCCTGATGTCTTATTTTTCCTTCTCCTGTGTATACACTTAAAGCCAAATTCTTTTAAAATAGTCACGGAGGAAAAAGTAGGCTTCATTACGGGACTCATGAATGATGGAGGTGCAGATGGAATTGAGAAAAGGAAGGACTGAAAGCAAGACTGCTGTGCTGCATGGGTGTACAAAAAAAGGGCAAACAAAGGGATCTCGTAAGATAAACAGGTGATGAAGGGGATTTAGAGATTCAAGAAACAGCTTGAGCTCTTACAGATGGATGTAGGTTTTTATATTATGGCTGTGTGTGGGAAGCTGCATCTCAATTGTAATGCAGGATACTGTGTACGTGTGAGCGCACATGTCTTTCTTAGTCATGAACTCAAATTATCTGTCTCTTAACTCCAAAAATATAACCTCATTCCTTCCGGTGATAAAGAAACCTACATTTGGTACAGTACATCAGGGCCAGAGAGGTATAAGGGTCCAGTGCTAGAACATAAAACATCAAGGCACACATGAGACGAGAGTGAGCTATGCAGATAGAATGAAATATTTGTCTTAGAACTTCAACGTGGAGTTTCTACCATAGCTCTCCGGGGCAGATTGTTGATGTAAGTGTGCCTCATTCCAACCTGGGCCAGGCACATCTGATAACCCAGTGGAGTAGAAACCGTTGATGGGGAGGGGTTCAGACGGTGCATACTGCGAGATCGTAGATAACCCGGAGCTTGATAGGTTAGATTCTCCTGTTTTCTTTCTTTTTGGATTGCAAGTGATTTGTGCAGGTCTTATCAGTGTGCAAGATAAGGTGCAAACGTGGCATAACTACAGTGTGGATCCACAGTATACTGTGGTGCTGTGTGACTCCTGACTTGTGCGGATTTAACTCAACTGTTTTGAAGTGAGTGGAGGTGGGCGGCCTGGAGAGAGAGAGAGATAGTAGAAAGACAGGCTTGTCATCCTGCGCAAGGAGTAGTACCCCCTCCCATCTTGCCGTCCTCCTCCTTTCCTTGAGTTGTAATTTCCTTTTCTCTCCCCTGCGTGCTTGTTGAGACATTCCTGAGACAGGCAGCAGCTGAGTTTGAAAAAGTGAGTTCCTACGTCTCATTGCCTTGGTATTCAGAGATTAACAGGAAGTTTTTCTGGTTTATAAACAGATTATTGATTGGATGAATGATTGCACTGCTTATTCAACGGGGAGTAAAAACGTCTTTGTGAGCAGCTCTGTTATATAATCATTGTTCCTACATCTGCGTTTTCTTTATGCTTGAGTTGAGGTTTGTGGGTTGTATTATTATTGAAACATGTTGACTGATGCAGAATCACCCGAGCGTCAGAGAGAGTGATGTGAAAATACAAAGAAACGAGCAGAGAGGGTCTTTGCGCAACACTAAGTGGAATACATGGTCAGCCTCTTGAAAAGAAATATTAAAGAGGCAAAAGGGAGAAAAGCATTTTTTCCTCTCTGTCAGCTCTCTTCTTATCCCACTTTTTTTCCTTTTCAAGATGAGGAGGAAAAGAAAACATGAGCAGGGGAAAAGCAGAGACAAAAGCAGGTTTCTGTCAGCGGGGGCAGAGGGGTGGAGAGGTGGATAAGGCCTGGCTTTGGGAGGGTGAAGTGGGCTTCGGCAATTAAATCCCGGCAGGCCGAGCGTCAAGAGCCCTTATCTTCAGAACTGAAGGCCAACACTGAGGGCCAGTGAAGGGTACGAGAGGGAGTAGAAATTGTGGTGTGTGTGTGTGCGAGTGGGGAGGAGTCGCAGGTCACTGTGCACTTGCATAATTCAGCAGACCAAGCCAGAGACGACAGGGGGGGGTCACAGTAAGGGGATAAGGCTGCACACTACAGAGTACATATTCTCATTAAAGAGGCCCCTTCTCTTCTGGGACTTTATCTTCTTAAGCAACTAGGCTTGCGAGACGTGCATTAAAGTTTGATCTACAGTGTTGTAGGTCTGACGGCTTGGTTCACGAGGGCACACTGCTAACATATTTTACTCTAGCAGCTCCCCATGTAGATTTACTGCAATGGCTCAGGAACATTAATTCACATTGGCTGTAAATGATAACTTCAGCACCCAGAGAATTAACAGGGATGACGGCTGATATGGCCCCTCTGACCCCCTCCTCTCTTCCATGTCCCCTTTTGCCCTCCCTGTGTTAGCCCCTTTTCCATCGGCAACCTCATGAGGAGACAAAGAACTAAAGGAGTGAGTGTTACAAACACTACTTCCACCCCGTGTCTATGTCAGCACCATCCATGCAACAGATGGAGCCAGTTATCCTCAATCCAGCTGGGTTATCCATCAACATAGACAAAGGGGTCATTTGGTAAGGAAAAACAATAGTTGTGTGGAATATCTGAGGATAAAGAGATTACTGAAAGAGTAGAGCAGGAGATGCTCTACATTTCTGTGCAGACAGCAGAAATATGTAACACAAGTATTTGTTTTTGAAAATGTCAGCCATGCTCACGAAAGACCATTGGTATGCGTGTGATGTTTTGAAGCATTTGTTTATGGCATGAGCCAATGTCGCTAATGTTTTACTTTACATATGCAAACAGAATGGATCAAAAAAGCAAGACGTGTTTAGAGAAGGAAACGTGAGGAGTAATAGTAACACTTGAATCAACATTCTCATCCTTTTACTGGTTTTGATTGAATAGTGTTAGTTCATTCAAGTATAAGTTCTAAATTATTATTTATCTTAATTTTAAATGTAGGTTGTCTTTACACTGAAAATAAATTTGATTAAACAAAAGCAAATGGCTTTCTCTGTCATCATTTTTAAACTGTCATGGTAAACAATACGACAACATTTGTGCAGTTTGGTTATCCATAAGATCAGTGTTGAAATGTGTAAAATGTGTGTAAAGTCAAAAACAGACCATACAGAGAGATGATATTCCAAAATACACTCCACTAACAGTGCACTCACATCAAGGTCAATCAAGCAGGCGGAATACAAACACAGACAAGGGATAGTGGGACATGTGGAATGATAGGTTTAACTACATCTGTCACTTGCAATACTCATCTTGAAGCCACAATATCATTACTATGCTTTGTAGTGGTATGACGTGGTATTAGGGGCCATGGTAATTTGTGCCGTACAAACAAAGCTTTCCAACTGATTTCAGCCTCACCACAAGGATACACTCTGTAATACCCACAAGAATCATACAACTCACAGTGGTGATTGATGTCAGAGTGCTGTAGTTCCAATAAATGCAAACAACCACTTAATTTGCAGGTTCCTTTCACGTTGCCACTCTATTACAGACTTGACCTCTTTTTCCTCATGTCCTTCTCTCATTCCATGCTCCCTACATAGTGCATTTCTACATGAAGAGCATTGCAGCTCATTATTGGTGTGAAAGGCAGCTCTTTTTATCTCACGATTTATGTTTCGACCAGGCCTGCTTATAAGGACAGTGTGAGGCATTAAAAGAAAGTGTAATATGAGGTCTGAGGTTGAATGGTGGGAGGGTAATGGAATTGTAAACCCCACAAAAATTGTATATTTGCTGCGTTGTAGGAGGGATATGGGAAAATGATTTTGTGATCCACGTCAATAGTTACCATTTCTGTTTACCTTATTGTGTACTAAAGAACTATTTTTGATCTGAAATATTAACACAAAAGCCGTAAGGAGGAACCTGAAAGCCAAATCAATCAATGCTCTGCCTAGTTCATCTTGTCAGATAGCATCAGTCTACAAGGCCCATGAACCAGTGAACCGGCGACTGACTCCTTGTGGTCAGAGGTCAGCTTCGGATTAGTGTTTCCATTGCTGCTCAGTATTCTGTATCCTCTGTTGTAACTGTGGCGCAGACAACACAGATAACAGGCGCTGTTTGACATGGGCACACACCCAGCTCCAGTTTCACAGAAGTACACCTGAAGCTAAATGGTCCACGTCTCCACAACAGGTGCTTTCTATGCTCCTCCGGGGCAACATGAAATCCAAAACCTCTGGAGTGTGTCGAAGTAAATGATGCGACCTGTGCCAAAGCTGAAGCCTCAGTCGGCTGCAGACTCCAGCCTCAAGAGTACAGAGCAGGCGAAAGGAGAAAGGAAGTAGGCGGAGGTGGACGGCCGGGCAGCCAAACCAGACCAGAGCTGGAGTTCTGCAACAGCATGTCTGCCGTCTAGCTCAGCCTCCGCTGAGCTTTAGAGCACAGAGGTCAAGCACTACGAGTTCCAAAAGGAAACATGGACAATTTCCTTTTTGTTTCATTGCTGAAGGATATGACGGATGGAGCTGTAGATGCTAGATTTTATTTTTATAAAGGCACGGGATGCCCTGCCAGAGGTACAATCTCTCTTCTTCTCTTTCTCTCAGCTCACACATAGTTTACTATCGTTCTTCTCAGGAGAGCGATGTCTCAATACTGATACATGCATCTTTCATCAATGCACCCAGCCCTGTGACCTACTGGGACTGATAATCAGTCTGGGTCATGTTTCCTCAATATGTGCACCAAAAACACACAGGCCTGAGATCTTCATCACAGAACTCTCACATTACAGAAACACAAAAGATTTCAGTGGTCGACTCACATCCAGTCTTTCATCGATTTTCTCATTTTTCTGTGATGTTTGAATCTACAACTTTTGTCAGTGCCATGTGCAAAAAACAATGGCTCAGTCACAACCCAGTGGCATAAAAACCACAAACAACAATTCTTACCCACTGTCTGTTTCCTTTTGTCTCTTCCTCTTTTCTGGAAGACACAGCAGTACACCACACAATTGCAGAAGTCAGGATCCAATGAGTCCAAAAAGCATAAAATCACAAAGAAACAGTAAATACAGCATCCTTGGACTCACGCTAATTTTTGACCTGTTCCTTCGTATCCCGTGCATGACTGTCCTCGCCTCCTCCCTTGTGCTGTCTGGATAACGAAAAGTGAACTGGTCTCAGGCAACAAAAAATTTCCTGAGACATTCTACAAAACACCTGAATGAGCTTGGTGGGGACGGGACAATTTTCATGCTCTGTGTGTGCTTGTGGTTTTAGGTGGCTGGATCGACCAGTTTTATCAGTCAGCTGTGTGCACACTCCAACGTTCTGCCTTGATTGACATTCATTACAGCTCTAAACACAACTGCAGTGCCACTCCAGGTTGTTCCAGACTATCATTAGGTGCAGCACCTTCGACAAAAACCCGGTTGGGAGTTCTCTCTGAACATAGTTACTCAGTCAACTGACTAGTAGCCACTGGGAACGTGAGCTGTGTACAGGCGTCCAACCAAACCAAATTTCAATGTTTTACCATTGATATTTTGTATGGCATACAATGCAAAAAGATTACTTCTATACACTGCTCGTACTTTATCAGTGATCATATTGTATTTGCATTTTTTATACTATGTTTTTTATAAATACTTTAATAACTGATTTCAACTATCGCTCTCCTTCTTGATGTATTAAAAGAACAAGTAATGGATCTAAACGTTACTTACTTACAACAGAGCTGTGTAAGAGTTCAAATAGGAGAAGAACTGAATCAGAGGTTTTTCAATGAGTCAGATGGAAGGCAGCCAAACTGACTGACTGGCAGCCCGACTGTCTTTGTTAGTCAAACAGAGTCGCACGCACTTAATGAGGTAACACTCGCACAATATCTGTCCGCCTGTCTGTTTATCTGTCATCACATCTGGAATATATTTCCTTACTCTTTAATCATATTTTATTTACTTTGTATCAACGGACATATCTGTCTGAACTGACAGTTGTCCACCTGCATTTCTGTAAAGGCACTGATGCTAAATATCCCCATACAGTGCAGCAAACAAGTGACACTCACAAACATCCCCTCTGTGCTGTGTCAGTCATGCGCCCTCTCCTCCCCTTGCTCTTCTGCCCACATCTTTTCTTTCTTTCAGGTTTGTTCATGTAGCGGTTGAGAGTATGACTGGAATCTGATGAAGGCACCTCTCCTCCGCCTGCCACAACAGCCCTGCGGGGTCTTGTGGTGACAGTGTTATTGTCAAAGTGTTTATTAGTCTTCTGAAAGCTCAAGGCCAATGTAAGGGGTCGGTAAGCAGGAACTTGGAGCAGTGCTAACGCTGATGGTTAAATAACTTCTTTACATTGTTAATTTACAGTAGCGCAGTATTGGAAACTTGGAGAGGACTTATACAAACTCACACTTCTTTCGCTTGGAGCATATTTTGGATTTGACTAAGCAAATATTTGAAGGTCAAACAATAGATTTCACAGTCATGTTGAAAACCTCTCAAGGCTGCTGCAGTATACTTCATAAGCCCTCCTCCTTCATGTTAGCAAATGAGGCATGGGCCAAATACACATCGCATAAATTAAAGGTAGCTCAAATTTTGATTTGAAAAACAGGTGAGAGGCCATGATTGACAGATGAGATTGACTTGATTGGTTGGGGTGGGTTACTCGGTGGCTTTTCAGAGGCCTACCAACTCTGCTAAAGCCAAGAGGAAGGACATATCATCCAGTGAGCTTCTTGGTGTAAGGTGTAGTTGATGTCCTATGCACTGGAAAGGCAGTTTGATGTCCCTATAGACCTTTTTCACCACAGATATTTTGTCACAGCAGGAAAAGCACAGATAAACAGACAGAGAATGAAAAAAACAATCAGGATCAAATGTTGGCTTATTTGGTTGAGCAACCTTAGTTTCAGGGTCTCATTACTTTTCATGCTCGTGGTGGTGTTTAGCTGTGACACCGGAACTGAGCTCTTAACAGATAACCTGAGACACATGTAATTATCAAGTCTGAGCAGAGAGGTGTACTTTTCATATTGTGACATGCAACATGTCTGTTGTGAAAAGGGCACTATGGTCATTAAAAGATGATTGATATATCTGGTCAGGGAATGAAGCAAGTCATTTATTCTTCACTGGGATTAATGAAATTTTTGGAAGTCCACACTTAAGTATGGTTTGAGTCACAACCATATTCTGTTCGTGACATTGAGTGTTGTAAACCTCACACAAGTATCACAGCCTTCATTTTAAGACCTGTTGTTCAGCCTCACTCCCTCCTTCTTCTCTTTCTAGTGGTTACCGTTTTTCCTATTCATTCTCCCTGCAGGCTTTTCTCCGTCAAAAAGAAAAAACAAAAAAACACCTCAGACATGTGCCTCACACACAGTGTGGATCGTAGATCACTGGTACAGATAAGGATGTCACATTGGAATTTATTGTGAAACTACTGCCTGAGTTGGTACCATGCCAGCACTGAGGAGGTTGGCTGTGATTCTGTCTAAATCACTGACATGCTTCTCCTCCATGGCCTCGGGTGCCCTGTGATTACGAACTGAACAAAGACATGCTGACTTATTTATTGCAATTATTCAAGATTCCTTCTTAGACACATGTCTGACTTGTTCAATTATGTCGCCTACTTTTATCTTTTCGAATAGCAGACTAACAGTATATAAATAGCCTATGAGGATGTGTAGTTTAGTGTCACGGCTGACAAATAATGAATGCAATTGAAATAATTTACAATCCCGACTGAAGTAAATCCGATGTGTCTCTGGGTGAGGCAATCCAAAAATTTATTCTCAGCAAAATGACACTCAGCCTGTGCCAATCCCTGGTTAAAC